TAAATGCTACATGTTCTTCAAATACCTATAGAATGATAGGTTTCTTTTTTGTGAGTGTAAAACACTTAAAAACAACATTCGATATAATACACCTATTACTATTGCGTTTTCTGACAAATATCACACCCAATATAGAATGCCTTGACATATTTTCAACGATTCCTTTCTAGTCTGACCAATGTTTTAACATACGTTCTGGAAAGTTTTGAATAATGTCTAATCCATCCTCTCGATTGTGTTGCGTATGTTTAATGTCTGAACACGTATATGACATATGATCGCTTTCAACAGCGCTTACGTCCATTATCACAATGCCTAGTAGGTTGGACACCATTTCTCAATAAAATCCTCACTTATCAACTTACTGTGTTATCAAATGTTTATCATGGTTTAAGAAATACAGTGAGCACATCCTTTCGACAAATACATTTAGCTTCACTTTTGTGTTAAATTAAGTTTGGGAAAATTTCATATTTTTATCTATTGTTACTCGTTTTGCTGAAGTGTTTGTGGTTTTAAAGATATGACCATAAGGTGGCTATGATTTTTATTGATATTTAATAAGGCTGGATTGGGCGTAACCTAATTGTTAGAGTGCTGGACTGCGGATCGAAGAGCATACGGTTCGCGTCTCGTGTTCGCCAGAAATTCATCCCCTGTACTGCACGACCGTGAGTGCATTGTAAAAGTACAGATCATGTTACACTATTCGATTAGAGTTGCCAAGAAGTTAGAAGTGGGTGATATTGACAAACTGCCTTCTATCACTTCTTTTCCACAGCCAGATCCAAGAGGCCGGTAATTGCTTGAGTAACTATACAAAGACCTGTATGACACTTGTCCAGCGTGAAATATTTGGGTTTTTTGGAGAAGGACCAGAAAATCTTATCAATGAATACTGCAAGTCTGGGACGAGCGTTCGAGAACGTAAGTTTATTAAATTTATGTAATCAGACCATTGATCTTATATACAGAAGGGTATTTATGTCCTAGGGTAACGATATAAGAATAAGTACCGATGCCTCATATCCTCTTCTTTCAAAACTTATGGTGTTCTATGTGATGGCATTGACTATGAACTATTAATCTGAAACGCAATGTTTACTGCAAGAGGCTTTTGCACACTTTGTACTGCAGGGAGCTTTTGTGTGTGTGTGTGTTTATAGCAAAACCACATCGGGCTATCTGTGGTGTCAACGAAGGGAATTGAACCTTTGAGTTGAGCTTTATAAATCCGTAGACTTACTGCTGCCCCACCGGTTGACGCAGAGGGCTTTTACGCAGTTTTTACTGTAGGAGGCTTTTCTACATTGTACTGAGGTTTAACACGTTTTTTCAATGTACAGCAATCGTAAGCGATTAAAGAATTCCGAGAGCCCGTTTGAGCAACTCCAAGCTACATAAGTCCTTGGGAGATATCTGCAAATGTTATACACGAATTCTCCTTTGCAATTACACCATGTAGAGGAACTGGTACTTTAACTTAATCATGTGACTACACGTTTTCTCCTGCTGTAGCTAGATATCACTAATGTCCAATGTGTAGAAAAACAATGTTTCAGTAGTGTCAGCATGTTAACCTGATAATATGCAGTTTTCAACTTGTCATTTTTCTTGACTCTTCAGATTGTCATGATATGCCTCCAGTGGCACAGCGGTATGTCTGCGGACTTACAATGCTAGAATCCGGGTTTCGATATCCGTGGTGGGTAGAGCACAGATAGCCCATTGTGTAGCTTTGTGCTTAATTATAATTACAAACATTACAAACATTGTCATGATATAAAACTGTTTAATTTAGATGTTATTGATTATTTTCTTTTTGAGAGGTCCCCAGTAGCACAGCGGTATGTCTGCGGATTTACAACGCTAGAAACAGGGTTTCGATACCCGTGGTGGGCAGCGCACAGATAGCCCATTTTGTAACTTTTTGATTAACTTTAAACAAACGTTCTGTGAGTTAATATTTTATTAATGTTTAGATTTTGTTATAATAAGAGTTAAAAGCAGACGATTGTAGGAAGTTTTGTTAATAATTCATTGATGTTGAGACTTTTGAACGTCACGTGCAATACTTTGACGTTGAGAACATACAAAAGGAAAATGCGTGATGTTAACTACCGTAGAAGTGATAGGCCTAATGTTTAATATGTTAGAGTAACACTAACAGTACAAAAGAAGATAAGAATAATAATTTATTCCGTCAAAGCGTGATTCTAAAGTAAGTGAATCAGCTTGAGTGCACTTTGACAAAAGGATCAGAGGATCTTCAGAAGAAAGAAGACCAAACGATTACAATAACTCGCGCCACAATTGTAAGTGAATCACACACAGAATACTAGTGCGATAGTAATGGAGAAGATAGTTCGGCTTGTCAACTGAAATTCTAAAGTAATTGAATAGGCCTAAGTGAATATTTGACAACAAGAAGAGAACTATATATATAGTGTTTATGATATGCCTATAATCTCTGTAGTATGAAGACTTTGTTGTACATACGTTTAACTTGTTCTGAATATATATATATATTCTTTTGAAAACAAGTAAAGTACGTGCTGTTCATTCATTGTTGAATTTATCGCCAACAAGTCACAGACACCTACTGTAGAAGAATCTTAAGCACAACAACAACATAGTTTATATTTATACCATTAAGAAATATAAGCAAAAGCCATTTATTTTGACAATTGGCAAAAAAAAAAAGAATTATATTTTATTACAATTCTGATACATATATTTATCTTACCATGATACCTGTAATTTGTAACCACTTTCGCAGTATGCTTTGTACCATTTTTGAAATATTGTATCACTGAAATTACGGTAGTCAGTTGCCCTGATTTCTACAAAAACTTAAGTATGCTTCGTACAAACATTTTTGTCACGAGCCAGATACTTTTTGCACAGCTTTCTATAGTAAAATCTTTGTTGTGAGCGTCGTGTGTGTGTGTGTGTCGCTTTTGTAGAGATAAATCTGTGTACATTATTTTGTTTACAGTTCCAAAATGGGGCCGAAACGACTATCGAGTTGGACTTTGAATTCTAGGGTCCATGGTTCACGTCTTGTTGCCGCAAAATCACGCTCCACAGTTTGAGGCCGGGGATTTGTTATAAGAGTGACAGTAAAATCTCCCTATTCGATCAGATTAGTTTAAGAGTTGACTGTTAGTGCTGTTGACTAGCTACTTTCCCTCTAATTTAACAATTCAAAATTGTGGGTGGCTGAGCCACTGATGAGCAAAATTAATTAGTTGAATAATGTTGAAGAAATCAAAAGTAATAAAAAAGACAGTAAATTAGAATAATGAGATATTAAACTAAGAAGAAAAAAGGACAAAACATGAATAAAGCAAACAAAACGGTTAGTTACATATAGAACATACTCCACGCATAGAATAACATTGTCCAGCGTGATATAACAGTTAAAGGTATGGTAATTGAATATAAAAACATGAATAAAGATTAGCAACTTTGAGATAATAAATATAGCAAATTAACTGTCTATAATGATAGAACTGTTTCTGTTGTTCTTTATTTTACTCTAATATTATCATCCTATTTTTTATTTTGTTTTGTGATGTAAAACGTTGATACCATATATATTTCCCCCATTTTATTTATTGTATTTTTTCTTTCCACGGTCTCCCGATGGGTAACTGGTAAGTTTATGGGTTCACAACGGTAAAATTCGGGATTTGATTCCCCGCGGTGGACATAGCGTACATAGCCCATTTTATAGCTTTGCGCTAAAAACAACTCAATTCTTTCCACGTGTTAGTATGATATTTCAAAACAGAATTACATATAAAAAGTAACTGAACAACAGTATTACATTCTTTGTTACTGGAAACCTGCATATTCTGGTTAAGAGTAAAGCGTTTAAAGAAACCAATCTCATTGTGATGTTTCATAACACAAGTTATTGTGAAAGAATTTGAAAACTGGGGTGAGAGCAAATTATTAAAGGGCTCCAAGTAAAAAGTTTAATTTGAATGCCTTATTGGAAGTGGTAGAGGAGGGAACATTTTATGCCAATGATTCATAATACAATTAGTAAGTCTATTTCTGGTGGCTCAGTGATAAATTTGAGGGCTTATACGGTGAGCACAACAGAGATAATCTATTGGTGCAGCATTTAACAAACCACAAAATCACTGCTCTAGAACTTTGTATAATTTTAAAGTAATTTCTATAACTACCTTAAAAACGCTGTAGAGTGTGGATTAACGGAAATTTCAACTTAAAAAAAATTGGTTGAAGAGCTGGTTTTACATTATACACATCGGAAACACTTCGTTAAGAAAATTATGTTAACAAGAAATATAAAAGCCAACACCTAAACACCGTACAACTGGATTATAGAGAAATGTGGCCAAGTTCTATAATACACATTATGATACTTATATGGAAATGTGTCCAAGTTCTATAGTACACATTATGATCCTTCTAGGGAAATGTGGCCAAGTTGTATAATACACATTATGATCCTTCTAGGGAAATGTGGCCAAGTTGTATAATACACATTATGATCCTTCTAGGGAAATGTGGCCAAGTTTTATAATACACATTATGATCCTTCTAGGGAAATGTGGCCAAGTTTTATAATACACATTATGATCCTTCTAGGGAAATGTGGCCAAGTTCTACAAGTACAAATTAATATCTTCTAACAGTTTCATTTTGTTTCTTCAGAATACCTGAAGAACGCTGCCTGTCTAAATGGAGCATTTGACGAAAACCAAAATTGTTTTCAAGATCTGCAGGCGGCCCTGGAAGTTGTTGCAGGAACACAATTTGGTAACCGTATCACAATTGCTTGTTGGTAAGTGTCTGTTGTAACGTAATAAATTGCCTATATATATATTTATACTTCTTTCCAGTTTATGTATTTCTGTTATATATATATTTTGATCGAATAAGCCACCAAACTGTATGAAATTGGGGTTCCTCACATCTTGTAAGGGGGATGTACCCCCTCGGAACAATTCAATTCCTTTCATTGTCGATGACTACAACTAGACATTATTGCCCGACGTTGCCATTCCCATAAAAATAAGCTTATGGGAAGGACGGCGAGGTCAATCTTCGACCACACAGCTTGACAAACGTTTAATACAACCTCCACTACACGTGAATGTCCGTTTCTAGTACTAAGATTATAATGATCAAAGACAAGTCCATTGGAGATACATCTAGAGACTTGTCAGCATTCGTATAATTCACATTCTTGTTTATTGTCTTGTTAACGTACCAGAAGATACACTCAGCTTCATTGAAATAAAGCTTTGGGTAGATATTTTATTTCTACTAAAACCTTCGTTATGTAAATAAAGGTGTTGCTACAGGTTGACTTTGGGTGTGTTTACGGAGACCGAAATGTTTTCAATTATTTTATTTCAAGGAACAGTTACCTCAAAATATTAGGTCGTCATGAAATTAATGTCGTGTTTTGGAACACTTTCATTAACCACTCCCTAAAAAATTTACATCACGTATAATAGTTAAACGAACTACCTAAACGTCACGTCAGTGTAGTCTATATAATGTGTAAAGTTTAGTATACTCTAATTCCTTATAGTGATGGCACACGACGAGACACACATACGACATATAATGCTGTTTGAATACAAGTAGGGAAACAACGCCTCTGTAGCTAAAAAGAATACCAAAGAAGTTTATGGAAATGTTTTGAACATTCGTAACTGTCAACGATGGTTCAGCAAATAAATTTTGTTCAGGTCACTTTAGCCTTAAAAACTGAGATGGCAGGGGCCGACATGTTGGAATTGATATTGATGCTCTGA